AATTCAAAACCTTTAAACTTGATTTTGAGCAAATTAGATTAATTTTTGAGTTTTTGGCTTCATTTTTGAACAAAACTTCAAAAAATTCAAAAAAAGTCTGAAAAAAAACTTGAAAAAAAATATTTTAATTTTTTTTTGGTTTTCTTAGTCTTTTTTTTCAAATTCATTTGTCCAATCCTTTTATGACTCTCTTATATGCCTATGTTATATTTTTACGTCAGATCTTTTTATCACAACAAGCAGAAAAACTATTATAGTTTGGAAAAAAACTTTCTAAACCGCTGTTTTCTAAAGACTATTGTCGGAAGATTCTGTGCTACCTGCACAGTAATCGGCAATCCTTGTTAATATGCGCACTTTTACCAAAATGCGTGTCATACAAATTTCATGCGGTCTATAAGTGTAGAAAAATTGCCTAGAAAGTTTTTGCATAAATGGTGTTTATTATGAAGTATTTGAAAAAAAAATCGAGGAATAGTATTTTACCATGAAAAAGAGATGATTTATTTTTCTTTGAATATATATCATATTTTGACTTTATTTTAAAAGCAAACACCTTATATTGATGGCAGGGACTGCTTACGACTTTATCAGGGGAGGTGCGGATTTTCAGCATCCGAACCCCCCTAAATCCGTTCCTGCATACAATATATGCAGAGTGCGTTATGAGACTTTTAATACCCTCCTGTTTTAAATCAATAAATCGATAGTTCTACCAACTTGACGACGTAAATACCTGATAAAAGTTTTTAAACTGGTTCTGTAAAGTTAGTACGACTAGCAATTTGTCATAAATGTTTTGCACGGAATGGCGAATATTTAAGACCTATGAACATCAAATTGGGTAGCAGAAAGAGATTAGTTGCCCTACCCTAAGGATTGATCCAAATCTCTGTATTTTTATTCGGATATCTTGACTACTCTCCTTCATAGTAACTAGGAAAAAACCCTTCCAGTAAAAAAAACTAAATCAATGATAAAAGTGTAAGTGTTTTTTTACCTGGTAACGAATAATTAATCTCCATTTTGCAAAAATCAATCATCTCAAATGGTACAAAAAAGTCCTTCGAAGAAATCCGTCACCAATTTTTCAATAATTTTTATCACTCTCTCTTCTAAACTAACCTGAGGATTATGAAACAAACTATTTAATTGGCCGTAAAAAAGTTCTGTGAAGTAAATACTATCTGTTTAATAATATCCCCTCACGCTCTTCCAGAATCGCCGGTGTAAATAAAACAGTATTTTCTTAATGTCAAAGAACATATTTCGTCCATCAAGTTCATTTCTATTTTACCCATTTCTATAGGACCGATTACCTAAGAAGTAAAGTGTCTATTTTTTTACTTTATTTTCTTTAATTTTCTATATATTCTATTAGCCGATCTAAAAAATTTTCGCTTTTTCAATTCAATATAAAACTGTGAAAACTAAATAACTAGCAAGGGAATGAGAGAAAACTTCGACATATGCTACTGGCAGTAATTAAAACAAGACTGCTCGTATATCAAAGCTAAGCTATAAATTTTCCAACTGCGTTTTAAGGCCAATTAAAAAGATTTGCGGTTGAAACATAGGCAAATTGATCGAAAACAAGAAGAAAAAATGAACAAGTTTTATTTCTTGTTTTTTTGTTCGTCAATTCATTTTCCCACACGGTAATGTAAACTACAAAGGGATGTATTTAGCGTTTCGTATCCTAATAAAGACTAAATGACCTGCCTCAATCCAAATTAAAACGCATTAATCCACCGCTTACGCGTGTTGTAGGACCGCAATATATCGCGCGTTAATTATCTCAAATTGTCCAGGCACAACAAAAATTGATCACAGGCAAAAAAACTTTCGAGTTTGAATTCAAGCCAGCAAAATGGCGAAAAAATTTTCAAACACGCTTTAAGTTAAAAAGTCGGAAATTGTTGAATAAAAAAAACACACCATAACGGACACTTTGTTCGAAAATCGGATCAACAAGCCAGCTTTGCTTCTAAGTTGATGTCAATCGTTTTTGCAAGTGATAAATACTACAGCAAAACGTTCTTTATTTTTTTACTCTAAAACGTAGGAAAGTTTGACTTGAAACCCAATAAAAATCAGATAGGAAGTTAAACAATTTCAAAAATCGTTAATTAATTTTCAGCAATTTTAAATTTTTTTGGCACTCTTGTACTTCCACACTCATGATTGTCACCCCTTTATTCCAAAATTAACTTGTTTCCCGTTTGTTTTTTTTGAAATTTTTTATTAGAGTAAGCTAACTGAATGTCATATTTTTCTGGTTTTTTTTTTGGTTTTTCTGGCGTACGCAATTTAGGCACATATAATTTAGCTGTTGCTTGAGATGCGTTTTAGTTTTACCGCATTACGACTGGTCGCGAACCTTAACAGCGGCATACAGATTGATTGGCATAAAGTTACCTAGATATGTTTATGAGAAATTCAGACAAAAAAAAATCAACAATGAAACAAGGATAGCCAGTTGCTGCTTTTTTATTTGTTTTTTAATTAGTGTCGTTATTTTTGGGTGGTGTGATCAAAGCATCTGAACAAAAAAAACTTAAATTCAGACAATTGCGACAATTATAGTAAAAAAGGCAAATTGGACATTTTTTGAACAAAATTGACAAGAAAAACAAAAAGAACAAAAAAATATTTTTAACAGTTTTCAATTTTTTGCAGAAATATTTTGAATTTGTGAAGTTTTAGTTCCGAAAAGGTTATTAAAAGATTCCAAAACTTAGCTTTACTCAAGTAAAAATAAAACTAATCATGAGGAAGTTTTTGTAAACGGCTTAAATTAGGCATAAACAAGCCCGCTATTTTACCCATTTTACTTGCTCAAATTAGACGACAAGTCAAAAACTTCAAACCGGTTTTTCTGGACACCGGAAAATTTTGTTGAAAATTTTTTAAGGTGACTCGAATTGCGACTGAAAAGCAATTAAAATGATATAATGATATATCACTCACCTCACTCCGGTGATTATTTGTGGTAGCTGATTTTTTTGTGGAAAGCCAAAAAAAAAAGATGAAACCAAGAAACACAGATGAATACAAGTAACTCCTAATTTTTCAAATGATCGGATCAAGAAAAAAACACACCAGCTCATGTTATTGCCGGTCGTTTGAATATCCGAAAAGCAATGTAGCGGCAAACACCGATTCACATGCATTATGCTATTCGTGTCGCATGTAAGAGTAGCGGAGCAAACGGTTGATATTTGCCGATGTGTGTGTCTGTCCTTTTTTATCATGATCCATCAAAGTTACCGGCAAATTTCCAGCTAACCGCTAACATACTTTGTTAGTTTAACTTAAAATTTTTCAGCTTGTAACACGTTTAACTTAATTGTCAGAGAGTGGGAAAAAAGTATAAGACTTTCTCGGTTGATATTTGCCGATGTGTGTGTCTGTCATTTTTTATCATGATCCATCAAAGTTACCGGCAAATTTCCAGCTAACCGCTAACATACTTTGTTAGTTTAACTTAAAATTTTTCAGCTTGTAACACGTTTAACTTAATTGTCAGAGAGTGGGAAAAAAGTATAAGACTTTCTCGGTTGATATTTGCCGATGTGTGTGTCTGTCATTTTTTATCATGATCCATCAAAGTTACCGGCAAATTTCCAGCTAACCGCTAACATACTTTGTTAGTTTAACTTAAAATTTTTCAGCTTGTAACACGTTTAACTTAATTGTCAGAGAGTGGGAAAAAAGTATAAGACTTTCTCGGTTGATATTTGCCGATGTGTGTGTCTGTCATTTTTTATCATGATCCATCAAAGTTACCGGCAAATTTCCAGCTAACCGCTAACATACTTTGTTAGTTTAACTTAAAATTTTTCAGCTTGTAACACGTTTAACTTAATTGTCAGAGAGTGGGAAAAAAGTATAAGACTTTCTCGTCACGAGCACAAAAAACGAATAGATCCAGAAACTTAAATTTGTGATGAGAAACTTTGCCATTTTGTTCATGAGTAGGTATCAATTCGAAAATCAAAAAACTTCAAAATTTTGAAGCAAAAACCTTATTTAATTCGTTTAAAAACGACAATTGAAGGTTTCTTTACTTACTTTATTTTTACTTTTTGGCCACAGAAAAAAAATTAAAAAAATCTTTTTCCGACAAAAGTTTTAAATTTTTCCCGCTAATTATAGATAAATTGCACTCTGATTTTGATTGCAACGTTTATTTTGATGTTTTAGATTTTATACAGCTGTCAATTGATATTCTATCGAAATTTGCCCAAACGTTGACAAATTTTTCAACGCCCAAAAAAATTACTGGAAGGTCTTGCAACTGCAGCTAGTTTTGCTGAACGATCGGGGTCAGGTTCCGACAAAATTAAGCAACGATGGTCGATACACATATCATTCCAAACGAGAGAACCAGCGAAGCGATATCACTTGATAATTTCGACTCTTCGATGAATAGTTCAGGGGACACTTTTCGTCCTTTTAACTCTTCGGCCGAGCAGGTCGAGGACTTCGATTTCAGTGTCTTGGTAAACGTGATCCGGCTGTGCATAGCGTTCGTCGGGATCCTTGCCAATGGGGTACTGTTCGCAGTTTTTGGCTACTTTCCCATATTCAACATTCCTTCCAATCACTTTATTTTATCCCTCGCAATCAATGACGTAATGTCACTGACGTATGACGTAATGTTTATCTTCCTGCATTACGTCACCCCTGGATTGGCCAATGAGATCCCGTGTATGGTGTCTAACTTCGGCATCTATTTCGTGGTCATTAATCTGACCCAGTTGGCGGCCATAGCGGTGGAGAGATTCCTCTTCATAAGGAGACCCCTTCACTACTACCAGTTAATTACAAAATGGAAACCCATGCTTATCTACGGATCATGGTATGTTAATAGTCCATACAGGATCATGGCCTACTTATGGTAAATACAGGATCATAGTCAGGGTTGTTTTAAAATGTATAAAAGATTCCTATATTATGATTCCAACCTCACAAAGTCCAGGTAATAAATATTGATTCACAAAAAATTATGAATTCTGAAGGGTCGACTTAGTACCCCGGTCGAGGTGCTCGACTTATGTTTCTACTCTGAATGTTGACCACGTGCAGTTTTGCAACTCAACTTCCGCGGTCGAGAAGCAACTTTAACTTTAGCTACTTTTGGTGGAGAGAGTCAAAACATACCGGAATTTGGTGGAGAAAGTCCAAAGATAAATCGAACACCTCGAACCGGGTAAAATTATTGTTTGTAATTGGTTCCAGGGTCGGATTTAGGGAGGTCTGTTGATAAAGATTGGTGCTACCCTCCCAGTGACTGTATGCACTACTAAGCGCTCTTTTTCGAGCATGATACTAATAAAAAGTTACCTCCGCTTCAATATGAAGGTGGATCGACTCGCAAATTCGGCGCTTATTTACATCCACAAAGATGTGGAAATCAAAATCGGAGGCTGTGACTGACAAATTTTCTGTCGAAGACTCAAATTTGTATAGCTTCGTATATTGTCTTATTGTAAAAAATTCAATGTTTTTCTCAATTCAATCTCAATCCGCCTCACCCTCAAAAAAATTTTAGATTCGCCCCTGATTGGTTCACTCAGAATCATATAGTATATTTGCAATCTATCAAAAAATCATTGTACGTATAATTGAGCGTTTTATACCCAATAAAGTTATCCGAACAACGTTTTCCTAATAAAAAAGTGGAAACTCTGTTAATTTTGTTTTGGCCGCAACTCAATGATATTTTGTTTTCATGGTTATTTTTTCCAAAGTACGTATGATCTTTCAGGATATGTGATTTGCAATGCTTATTTGTGAAAACACTTACAAATTGCATTTTTTTGTGATACCTTGCAAAAAGGTGCTAAATTGAAGTTAAGACGTCGAAATCGGCTTAAGGGCACAAGCGGTTTTTTTTGGGAGGATGGGGAGAAAAGTTAATTTCACGGCAAAAAGTTTTTTGATGGCGCCCTCAGCCTAAAATTTTTTTGAAGGCGCCATTAAACACAATAATCGTGAGGAGTTTTTTCTTGGTCAAAACTTTGCAAAAAAATCCGAAAAATGGCGTTTGTGGCCTAATTTTCAAAATTTTGTTGACGAAGCAGAAAATTTTGGCAAATTGTGTTTGTATAGTAGTTTGGGAGTGCCCAAAAAATCGTTTTTTTTTTGTGGTCTTTTCGGTTATACCCCCTCCCCCCTCCCCTTCCCCCCTAGATGAAACTGAAAAATCTTATAACAAAAGTGGGTCGATATCACTAGGAAATGCAAGATATAAATATGGGACTAGTCAAAACGAAACATTTCTACTTCATTTGGCCTCTAACTAGCTTTTTTTCCTCTATTTTGTTGCAGTTTTCTGCACATAAATGTCATAAATAGATGCCAAAATGCTTTTTTTAAACTGTTTATTTTGCATTCTTTGCATCTTTCTAGCTTGCCTTAGAGCTCGGGATATGAGTTCCTCTATTTTTGAGTAAAATCACTCCAATTTTTTTAAAAATTTTCATATACATTTTCATCATTTAGGAGGGTTTAACCGAAAAGACTCCTTCGTTGACCTAAAAAAACGGTCAATTGGCTTTTTGAACGTTTTTTGTAAAATTTCCCACTCTTCGATGAAACCTTAGACCCGCGGCTGCTTAAGTACCTAAGACATCAAAATTGTATAAGTCACAGACGCTTTCCCTTTGTTGTAAGAATTATGACACAGATCAGCTATTTCAACCTAAACTATTAAACCTGGTTTTTATCTTGGGTCTTTTCTGCTTTACGGTCCATTTTATCAAATTTCTCAATTAGGCTTGTTTGTATTGAAAACGCTGAGATTTCTTTTTGCTTTCGATTATGATTTCAACCAATCAGATTCGAGCATCATCTTCAAATTTTCACTGTAGCAAAAGAGTAGCCGGGTCGAAGTCCCAGACTCATGTCCAGACTTTTGCAACCAAATTTTGGTGTGTCCACACTTTTGCGGCCCACGGCGCGACTCATGTCCAGACTTTCCATACTCAAACTCTCGGTGCGACTATGCAATTTGGATGCGGCGCGACTCTAAATCCTGATGCGAAATCCGACTCTAAATCCGGATGCGGCGCCACTCTCAAAGTCTGGACATAAGTCTGGGACCTCGACCCGGGTAGTTTTTGGGACGTATATCAGAAAATAACCACATATCTTGCGTAATGACTCATTGTAGATGCTGCCCCCCCCATAAATCCGCTACTGGTAATGAGTATTGTGGTGCTGTAATAGGCTTGTTCCGGCGGGACTGTTTGCCCCCCTCGTGTGGTTGATGCAGTGTGAACAAGTGGGTCCTCGGCCTCTGTTCATGAGTCTGTTCGGCAGCTACCTCCTTCTCGGCTTCCTCTCCATCGCATATCTCTACTTCCTCGTGTTCCGATCAGCCCACGACCAGATGAAGAGCATGATATCAGCATACCCACACGTGCAAAACAGCGACGACATGGGGTTAGTGGACTCGCCGTTACGAGACAAAACTCGTAACAACTTGTAAGAACTTGTAACAACTCATAACAACTCGCAACAAGTTGTAACAACTCGTAATAACTCGTGATAACTCGTAATAACTCGTAACAACTCGTAAAAACTCGAAATAACTCAAAGCAACTCCCCACAAAAACCACCTCGAAAAGTTTAAGGAAAGCGACAGTTCGCATACAGTTTCAAAATTAATTTATAACTTAAGAATTTTGGTTTATGTTTCGCGCTGATAAGCGCTCTAAAGGTCGTGCAAGTCCTACCATCTGTTGGCAAGCTCGCAACACGGCACGATTGCGGTGGTGATTATATTGCGAGTTGTATTTTAATGATAGTCGGATGTCTTTTTTTGCTAGTTGTCGCATCACAGGCAAAACTGCACCTTTTATAGACACAGAGATTTTTTCTGTGTATGTGTCTGTGGATCCCCGAGACGAGCTTTTTAACAGGTTAAAATTTAGCTGCGGAATCCAAAAACCAAATTGATGTGGATTTCACTAACAAATGCCTCGCAATGTAGATTTTTTGTCTGCCCCCACAATATGTAGTCAATTTAGCCCGACTGGGTTTGAGGGGTATAAAAGCTGAAGGTCGTTATACGGGTATTATCAACTGCTGTGCATTCTACGTATTTACTGTTTTGAAATGCTTTAACAAGTAAATTTTCACAATGACGATTTAACACAAGAGTATAGAGGGCGCATTTTAATTTAAATTTGAGAATTGAATTTTTATCTAGCTTTTTTATGCATCCTTATTAACTTTATTTTTCTTATTCATAATTTTTCCAATAAGAAAATCTAAACAAATTGGGCGTTTTGGTTTCGCTTTTTAAGACATTAACAAATCTGATTCTACAGTGTTTCAAAAATACGCAATTAAAAATAGCCGAAATCTGATGATTCAGTTGATTAAGTTGGATTGCTTTTTGTTTACGCATTTTTTGTTGTTTTTTTTTCAATTTTCTTTTCTTTTTTAACTGAACAATTTAAACAGCCTTGATTTGAAAAAAAAACAACGAGGGCCCACAAAAAACCAAAGGGGTCAATTCTAAGGAATGCAAAAAAAATAGGCTTCAATAGCATACATTTTGGCACAATTGTATCTGGATGTGAAGGTGAAAACTTTATTTTACTCCATAGTTCGAGACCCAACCAGGCCTTTCTGTTTTTAACGACACCATTTAATCAACAATAGTCACTGTTCCGACTTTCGATACGAAAGTAACGGAATATTTGTGCTCGGGGTGGGTTTTTTTTTCTTCAGACAAATTTTGACTTTTTAACTAGCCATTTTTGACGGAATTTTTTATATCATTCGAAAGCTATTGTTGTCTTGAGCTCAAATTTGAAAAGATATTTCACCTGTGATCATTTTTTGTAAAGTTACGGGGGTTTAAAGATTGCCATTTTGGCCAATTTGGGACAATTAACGCGCGATATATTTCGCGCTATTAACGCATAAGCGGAGAGTTAATCCGTCTTAGAAATCGTTCCAAATTGACTAAAAGAAGCTTATTTGCCATACATCGTTTGTTACAAGGAGCGAAATCTATCCTTTTGTACTTTATATGGCGTGTGGGGGGATGATTTTCATAAAAAAATTCAAATTCAGAAAAAAAATCAGTTTATTTTATTTCATTGAATTTTTTAATGTTATTTCGGCTCCATAAACCTTAAGTCGGAACATTCAGGGTTTCGCCCTGATACGAGCAGTCTTGTTTCGTTTTGTACGTATTCCTAATAAATTTTTCAACGCGCGTTTTTTTCTTTTCCATCTAGCAATACATACACATCATAATTGTAGCGTTGGTGAAGTCCCATTTGCTCCAACGTTCATCTGTACCAAAATGAAAAATCGGTCCCATTTGTACCAAAATTAATCAAATCGATTTTTGATTGGTCGGATTGTGAGCCAACAAATAATTACCTTAATTTTCTACAAATCAAACTGAAGAAAACTAAACAGCAGAATAGTGACTGTCGTAGTCGCGTTAACGTGTTGCGAGCTTGCCAACAGAGTATAGGACTCTATTACGAAAATTAGAGCCGGTTATGGCCACAAAGCGGCGACGCGCGCATAGTGCGCCCACCGGCGACCTGAAACCAAGAGCTTAAAATAGTCGGCTTAGTAGTCTATGGCCAATTGAATTTTTTTGGTACTAACGCGATTGATTTTTTATTTTGGTACTTGTGAATACCCACCGTAGCGTTATCAAAGGTTTTACAAGGCTGAAAATGGGGATCATGTGTTTGGGTAATTAGTTCATATACAAAAATTTCCAATGCAATCGGAGAGCATGATTAAATTTCGACTAATAAGTTCGCATAATTAATGACAGCGAAGAAAGAGCTGCTTCAGATTACCATGGTTATCTTCTAACTTTTAATTAACTTAGCTCCTCTCCAAATGGTGAAATTTGAATCTGGTTATTTTGCTTCGAAGCGAGTTAACAGTAATTCACTAAGTCATACAAAAATCCGAAGACCGTTGATTGCATAAAGCAAAACTGCATGTATCAGGGAAATATGTTTCGTCTTCAAACCACCCTTCGTTTGTAGTCTAATATTTAAACTCAACGCTAAAAACTGTGGATTGATGTTTACCGGGCTTACAGTTTTTATTGCGGACAATGGCTAAAATAAGGCGTTAAGTACCTTGCTTAAGTGAAAGGAATGAATGTTCTAAAAGATTTTTTCAGTCCAAAGTCTGGATAATTTTAAATTAAAGGTCTATTTAGGTCAAGGTCTAATGTCTAGTCCAATTATCTTGAAAATTTGAGAACCATTGAATCCAGGGGCGGATTTAGGGGGGGGGGGATGGCGGACGCCCCCCTCTCAGGGATTTGACCCCCTGCCGAAAGAAATCCATTTTTGGCCCACCGACCCTAAAATTTTTCTAATGGCGCCTTTGGCGCCAATATATTCTATTTTTGAGATGGGAGCGCGCGCCGAAAAAACGCATTTTTTTTGGTCAAAATTTTCCAAAAAGTGCCTAAAAACACCTTTTTTGGTTTGTTTTTTTTTCAAATTGGCGCAGAAAATGTTGCCAAAAAAGGGACTAAACCATGCTTAGGGAGAGCTCAAAAATCAATTCAGTCGACCTAAAAAAAAAAGGAATTTTCGAAAAAAAATTTTGAAAATCCGCCCCCCCCCCCCTCGAGAAAATCCTAGATCCGCCTCTGATTGAATCGTTTTGATTTACAAATTTAACACAAAACTTGAACCCTTGGGCGCATACTAACCGGGATATTTTTAGGTATAAAAAATAGAAAAAAAAAGATAAAATTTATCTCAAAGATTTTTACCCCTACTTGCATGCTAATGCAAATTTAGTTTGGTGTCGCACATCTTAAACCAAAAATTAGTCTTTCATAATCTTGTACTTTAGCAGAAATGGACGAATACAACAATCTAGCAAAGAGTTCTAAAAAAATGCAAAAAAAGGTAGTGATTCCAAATTTGTACCCGTGGTTGTATGCTAACGGGTCTGAAACTTGGGTTTTTATTCCAATGGTAAAATTTTACCTTGAAAGAGCTCAAAATTTTGAATTTTTCGAAACATTCTGAAAACCTCAAAAAAACTCGAAAGTAATTATTTATTCTAACTTTTATAGACGTACTTGCATGCTAACGGGTTGTAGTTTAAAGTTGCTATTTTTTGCCAAAAGGTGACTTTTTTTGAAGTTTAGAATTTTTAGACATGTAGGCACGAAGGATTTAATGAATTTTTCAAAATATTCTGAAAAACTGAAAAAAAAACGAAAAAAAATTTAAATTCAAAACTTTGTAGTCCTCGTTGAATGCAAACGGGGATGTAATTCCATTCTGAGTTGAACTTTCAATGGCTTGCAAATCCAAACTTCACTTCACAAAAACCCGTAGATTTGACGTTTTGGAAATTTTTACGACTATCTCGAAAAAACACGCAAATCGATTCTTTCTATGAAAATAATTGAAAGCATTCAAAGCTTTGTCAATTGAGTAGCTGGCTTCACAAAAAAATTAGCCTTTTGTAAACCAAATCGTTTCTTGAAACAATTTAAAGCTTCATGGCTTGAATAGCTTGCTTAAAAAAACTTTTAATACGAACCATTTCGGTTTAGGAAATTACTTGTCAAATTTTAAAATAACGTCGTTTGAATAAGTTGCTTGAAAATACTTGATTTTTTTTGCAAACAGATCCGTTTTGTGAAATAACCTGGAAATTTTCAAAAGTTCTACCATTGTAAAGCTTGAAAAAAAATTGAAAGCTCCGCGAACTGGTTTTCCATAGAAACTGAACGAAACATTTCCAAGTTTCGTCAGTGAGAAGCTCGCTGAAAAAAAGTTCTGTTCTAAACGTTTAAAAAACATTTGTTCTGATATCAACATGAAAAATTTGAAGTTTTAGCGACTGGCAAAATTGCTTGGAAAACACTTAGATAGTTCTCGAAATTTTTCAATTTTCAGAAACAACTAAATTACTTCAAAACTTCGTCGCCTCAGTAGTTTGCTTTGAAAAAAAAAACAGCCCATGAGATGAATTGAAACATTTATAACAAATAGCTTACTGGTTGAACAGCTTACTGAACGTTTTTTTTGCTAAATGATGCCTTCTATGAATTAAGCTGAAAGTTTTCAAAATTTCATCGATCAAAAAACTTGCGTCGAGTTTTTTTTATCAAACTGATTCGCTCGATGGAATAGCCCGAAAAGTTTTGGGGTTATGTCAGTTAAATAGCTGCTTTGAATAGCTTGATTTTTCTAGCAAACCGATTCGATATTGAATTGACTGGAGTGGTTGAATTTTTGTTTGTTTGATTAATTTGCTGAACAAAATTGATGTTTTTCGAATCGGCTTGCTCTTAGAAATAGCTTGACAATTGTCAAAGCTTCCTCGCCTCGAAAACTTGCTTTAAAAACTTTTTGCTTGATTAGTTTACTTTGTCCTTACATTTTTAAATTGTTTTTTAGAGTAAAAAGATGTTG